ATGGGAAGAGAATTATTCACGATAAAATTGAAAACTAGATAATCTTCAAAAGAGCATCATTTTGAAAAATAATAAACAATGTTGCTTGATTAAGACAGATTAAAACAGAAAAGTAATCTCAGAGCATGTTGAAAAATATTTAAATGAAACAGAAGGAAAAGAAGCTTCAATAAAGACTTACTAAATCTGCAGAGTTGTAGAAAAGAAAAACAATACATATGAAAACAAAGGACTAAAAGTACTAATTGTACTAATCAAAATGACAAAGATACCCACAGCAAATTTAAAAACATAATTTGGTTATATTTTTATTTTTTTTTAGTTTGTTTCATTTTTTTCATACTTTTGAATCAAATCAACATTATATAAGCTTCACGTGTGTTGGTGAGTACTGACATGTGATGATACAGAGTATGAGAAGGTCACCTGCAAGAGCCCAAATCTATCCTTTTAAAAATTAATACAAAGAAATGGGAGGATTTCTTAGATTCATTTTGATTGAAAAGTTTCTTTTTAAGACTTTTCCTGAGAAAGATATCATTTGATCTGGTGTGATACCAGCAATTATATTGCCACACCTAATGGAAGGGATACTATGGGTCTCATAAGCAAATAACAATGTGAACCAAGATCACATCAATTAAAAACAAAGCTGACAGGGTCCTCCCTGGTGGCGCAGCAGGTTAAAGCACAGCACTAAGAAGCTAAAGCCACTTCCGCATGAGTTCGATTCCCACCTGCCCTGGGGGTGACCACATGGCCCGGCAGACCTCTCCTGGCCCACCCGCTGCTCCCCTCAGCAGTGTACTTCATCCATCTGCCTGTTCTGCCCCACTCTGTCTCTGGTGAAGCCCCTCACCCTCTGCATCTCTGGCCTGTACCCCAGTTCTGTATGAATAAATACATAAATCTTTAAAAAAAAAAAAAAACAAAGCTGAGAATGCCAAAAAAAACAACATTATTTTTAAAAACAGAGCATTAATAATAATATTTAAATAAGGAATCAACAAACTTTCTGTAAATATTTTCAGTTTTATGTTCTCTGCTTTACTATTCAATTCTGACAATATACTATAAACTTGACATATTCTGTTTTTCTAAATTTCCAGAATATTTGTCTCTATCAGTACCAAACTTGCAGCAATCATAAAACTCTTTTTTTTTTTTTTGCATAGAAGTACTGAAGTGTAGGTCAGACACACGGGGAATGAGAGGATTCACCAGAGACAGACTGGGGAGCAGGATATATACTGAAACGCACTGCTGAGGTGAGCAGAAGGCCAGACAGGCAAGATCTGCTGTGCCATTTGTGGGCGACATCCCTGGCTGGAAACAAAAACAGGTCATAGCAGTGAGACTTAACCCCTAGCCACCAGGGAGGCCCTGTCATAAAATCTTTCCATGGCTCTCTATATAAATACTTCTGAGGATTATCTTATATAATACTCACATTTATATTTTCTGATCAGTTGTTAATATCTTATTAATCAACAAAATTTCTTAATAATTTCCAATACCATGTTTTGAATTTTTATGACAAGAATTGATACTTTTTTAAAAAAACGTATGTATGATAACAATTTCTAACAATTTGAAAGAAAAAGCAAAAATACTAAGAAGAGTAATGTTGCCTTTGGTATAATTGGGGAAAACTACATAAGAACATCTTATCAGCACAAGTGTATTATAACACTTTATTTTTAATATCGTATCCACATGATAAAACTTCCTGTGTACTTCAACAGTGACGTAACCAGTAGATCTACTTAACCAGTATTTGTTTTCAAATAATTCATCTTCTATATTCAAAACACTAACATACTTATGATAAAATTTTACCAAGTCAGCATTAGGATTTCAGTCCTTTTCCTATTTTCTTTTTTATAAGTTAACCATTATTAGTAAGGGGATATCACCTAGTCTACTATGGAAATTAGAATTGCAAATTGAAGAATGATTTCCAGCATCATTCTCATAAAACAAAATCAAATCTAAATTATGACATCAGTTTGCAGATTGACTTTAATAGTGAATTACCAAACACCATTTACTTAGAAACAGGTAATTTAGATTCAATCTAATTTAATTTAATTTAAACAGTGATGTATAAATGTTGATGAGTAGCACTATTACAGAATACAAATACTTAAGCTCATGCACACTTTTTGTTTTACAAGGTTTTAGCTTTGTAGTTATAGTAGTAATATTTGCCTTTTTTTATTGTCAAGATTCCATTGCAATAGCCTCACAAGTCATGAAGAATAAGTGTTCCCAAAATATAAAACTCTTTATAGAAACTAATGCATATCAACTCAGTTGCATAAGTCTCAACATTTCAAAATAACAGAATACTTTCTTGTCTAACTGCTAGATTATTGGCATATTGATCATACAATGCTGCTATGTATATTACAGTGACAATGAGATTTTGAAGATATGAGTGCTAAAGTGGATGGAAGCAAAAACACTCTCAAAGACAAAGAAGAAAATTTGTTTAAAATAAGAATGATTATTGGTTTGGTTTTGAATGACCCTTTACTATGTATTCTATGTCCCAGGTATAAGCAACTCCGTCTAGTATTCGCCCTCCTTGTCACTACTTATTTACTTAGTGGCAACCAGAAGGGGTGAGTGGGAAGTGGGGGTAGCAGAGATGAAGATCCCCACTGAATGTGATGGAGGAAGGCTTGGGCACCAGTCCTGGGCAGAACCCCCAGAGCAGCTACAAAGATAGAAACTTACTTTACTTCAATAAGCATAATTTGGGAGGAAAAATTAGACTGATTTGTTTTAAACTGTAAGAGCTTTCTTAAATACACAATTGATCAATTTATGTTAAAAATTAGAAGATCTCAAAGGCCAAATTAAAGTTTGCCAAATGGTGTATGAACAGCCACCTACTTAAAAATTCTTTCTTTGGTAGATGTAATATGTAACTAAGAGGGGGAAAAAAATCATTTAGTTGATTTCCAGAATTTAACTAGAAACAAAAGGTTTTGAGTATAAAAGAATTAAGCTTTTAAAGATTTATCTTTATTTCTTTATGCATACAAGAACTGGGGCGTAGTCCACAGGTGTAAGGGGTGAGAGGATTCAGGAAACTAGTTCATGAGATAGACTGGGGAGCAGAACAGACAGATCAACTGAAATATACTGCTGAGGGGAGCAGCGGCTGAGACTGGTGAGGTTCTGCTGCACCTGTGAGTCAGCTCCCTGGCTGGGGGATTAAACTCATGTTCAGCTCGATAGTTCTGAGACTTAACCCTTTGTGCCACCACCACGGAAGCCCAGAATTAATTTTATAATACATAGTATTCAGTAATAGGCAATGCAAAAATTAGGATAATACAAAAATAAAATAAAAATCATCAACAAAAATACTTATTTCTCAAACATTTTCGAAAACATTTTTAAAATCATGGAAGCAATGGATTTCGGTAGAAACAATGTTAATAGACTAAAGTCATAATTTGCCTTTTTAATTTAGCAGTTATTAACATGCAGTCTTTAATCACAAGGGCAGTTTGTCAGGGAATCCACACGAAGCTGTTTCATAGAGTAACAAAACAGTTCCCAAAAATAAAATTTAATTCAATCGTGAAGTTCGAGAAGAGGAACAAGTAACATATGACTACAGTGACAATGACAGTTTTTGGGTAAGGGAGTGATAAAGATGGCTCTGAGGGTGCTTCTGGGATGCTGGAAACATACTATATCTTGATGGAGTCAGCAAGCTTCATGAGTAAGATATACGCATTTTACTAAATCTGCACGGTACCAATATAATACTTAAAATACATCTGGTTAATGGAAAATGAGGTAGTACCTATATGCAGACTTTTACAAGTTCTAATGTATCACATTCTACGAAGCATATGAACTGTCAAAAACTAGGTGAGGACATTGGGGTAGATGTTTGTATTAATGGCGAGTCGTGTGATTATTCTAATTACTCTGAACACCATACCCATGTTCTCACAATGGGTTAAAGTGGAAATAAACAAGGGAGCCGCTGTCCTTTCCAGTTCACAAAGTAATTTGAACTTTCTTTTAATGCCAGGCTACTGAACTTTAAAAAAGCCTTTTCAGGGGCCCTCCCTAGTAGCACAGCAGGTTAAGGCACAGCACTAAGAAGCTAACGCCACCTCAGCACAAGTTTGATCCCCACCCTGGAGCTGACCCACATGGTGCGGCAGACCTCTCCTGACCCACCCGCTGCTCCCCTGAGCAGTGGACTTCGTCAGTCGGCCTGTTCTGCTCCCCACTCTGTCTCTGGTGAATCCTCTCACCACCCCTGCACCTCTGGCCTGTACCCCAGCTCTGTATGCATAAATAATCTTTTAAAAAAAAAAAGCCAGCATTTTAAGATCAAAATTTATCTGAATTCAATAATAAAAACTAAAAAGTGAACAACTAAAATTTTAAATATAGTAGAATTATCCAATTTTTAATAAGATTAATTTTGACATCGTTTATAATAACATAAAAAGTAAAGCCTTTCATTATTGCAAAATTAAAACTTCTCCATGTAGATGTTTACAAGATTCTTTTTTTTCTATAAGTTTTACAAAATTTTGAGCTAAGACAAAATTAAAGACGTAAGACTCTAAATGTCAGACATTACTCGAAAAGGGTTAATTATTAAAGAGCAAGAAAACTGACTCCATTCACCAATAAAAAAAAAAAATCAAGTAGTAGAAAAGGAAGAATATAAGATTAAAATGTTTTAATAACAAAAAAATAACTGGTGTATTTCTAATTGAAAATTTATTGAAAAGGGCTATACACATATTTGTGTCTTAATTAATGTTTCTTAAGATAAATGTAAAGATTTCAATAAAAGTGTATGCATCAGGTTCTACCTGTTTTGACAATCACAATTATTTTTTTCATTTATTATTTTGGGAGAGTAAAATATTTCAATTTCATTATATAAATGACGGCTTGGCTTCCAGAACATATTTTTGATATGTTCTCCAAATAAAATCATTTATAGAATGTTAATTTCCAACCATGGAACACTCATGAGCATTCATATAGCATGTTTGAAGATAAAATATAATTAGAAAACCAACAAACACAAGGCATGCAACAGTTGAAACTGCGGTAACTACATTTGTATCACAACTTAGTAAGTCCTGCCTATAGGTGAGCCATGTCACCTTCAATCATAACTTGAACAACCGAAGCAAAATCAGATCAATATTTACATATAAGTCTTAGTAAATAAGATGACACATCCACAATTCTCAAAGTACATTTTTTTTCAAATATGTGGACAGAAATGATTCTAATAGGAATTTGCACTAATATTTTTAAATAGTAATTTCCTTATTTTAAATGTTACATAAACCTTACAAATAATATTTCCAGTAGACATTAATTTTTTTTAAATGAACTCAGTCCTCTCACAAATCACACAGAAATTAAAAGAAAACATTTCTAGAGGCAGATATTAAGTGGATCTTCATTATTAGGAAAGAAGCAACAATGTATAGATTTTTTAAAGGTTTTTAAACATGATGGTCTAGCTCAGGGTTGGGCACAAGTGAACTGTTCAATAAACTAAGACGAATTCAACCAACTCAATAAGTCAAAAAAGATAAGTGAACAAGTCCCAACATTACAACATACAGGCCTCTCTCTCCTATAAGAATAAGAACACAGACCTTAACTATTTCGACATAAAAGGAATATCCTAAATGCCTCCTCACAATAAAGCTGAAGCCATAGCAGTCTATGACTAAATCAATAAAAATGAAACATAACGCCTACATGTAGCACAGATAAAGAATTCAGTGGTAAGAGCTCGTAGACCTTAAGGAACTGTTAAGTACTGAGAATCCCACATTTTCTTGAAAGCTTATATTATGCTCACTATGTAGTACACCAAAAATGAGATGACTAAGCACAGAAAATAATTTCCAGTGGGGTTGTAATAAAAAAGTTTTTACTTAACCCTCAGAAGAGAAAAATTGATCAGAAAACCCATATACTACATTACTTCAAATTTTCATGCACTTTTTAGAATATAGTTTCACTGATAAATAAATTCATGTTGACTCAATATTATTTATGTGAAATTTTTATGGAGATGCCATCACAGACATTCATGGTCTTTTTTATCAAAGGCCAGTGTGTGGCTTTATATGGTATGAAATCTACATTATCACTTTGAAAAAAAAAAAGCATTTTTGTGTTATAAAGTATTCACCATTCATGAGATCAAATACTATTGAACTTACCTGTATTTTAATAGGCCAGGAAAAGTTGCTAACGTAGACATAGAATGTAATGTTAGGATTGCTTCTAAAGTTAAATTTTTCATAGGAAAAACTATCTCTGTATTCCTTTATATTAGTCTTGGAAACTATAGGAGTCTCTTCCCCAGATATTGTTCCAGCTAAAATGTAAATAATAATAACAAATTTAAATAATTCATATCAGAAAACAGGGCTTCTTATGAACTTCAAAAAATATTACACTTACTCAATGTTTATAACTTTACTTACAAAAAGATAATCATCAATATAAACTGTTTATAATGAGAATAAGATTTTCTGCATATAATGAAAGTAGATTTAATTAAAAATTAATTTTTAAATGATACCATTGATTAAGTGCTGTGCTAAACCACTGACTTAGAGACTTTATATCCTTTTATAACAATTTTATCCCAGGTGCATTTAATCTCTGTTTTTCTAATTGAATCCTGGACCTCAGAAAATTAAAGCACCTCCTTAAGTTACAGAACTGTAAAAGCCCTTTTTTTGAACACAGGTAGCTATGACTCCAGAATCCGAGTTCTTCCTATTTACTACTCCAGTCTTTTATAACAAATCAGGAAATATTTTCACATGTCTCAACCCAATTAAAAATTAGAAGTTAATTTAATTTGCTTTGCCACAAACAGTACCAAGACGACTTTCATTCAGTTGGGAGAAGGCTACAATCTAAAACATGAGCTAAGTGTTCAATTAGTCAAATGTATTTTGGGAACTCAATAAATATTTACTGACATTAACTTAGTGGAACATAGCACTGCCAATAATTTTACAAAGTCTTCAAACTTAACAAACAGTAAAAATAGTAAGAATTTGTGTACTGCTGAGCAACTGAAATTTCTAACTAATCGCCTGTTACAAAGTTAGCTTGATTGCTCTTCTTTTAATGCAGGTTTCCTGATCCCATTTCCCAGCGTGATTCTGAGATTTGGTTCTGGGAATCTCAAGGTTACCAGTGATTCTTATATGCAAAAACCTATTTTACAATGATTCTAAAGATTTTATAGATTTTGTACAGATAGGTTAAAATTCTTGCAGTCAGTTTATTGCACAGAAGTAAATTTCAGGTTAGAAGCTATCACAAATTTTTAATAAATGAAAATCACAGCACCAAGGGTTTTATTGTGCATCTGAAACTATCATAACAAAATGTCTATATATTTGCCTAAACTACTCATTTTGACACAAATAATATAGGTTCAAGAATTGCAACCATCTCTTTGCTCTGGAATTCTATGTTCCTTTGATTCGACATATTAAAATATTAATGTAGCTTAACTTTCTGAAATCATATATGGAATTCTAAGAATCGAAGTATTTTCTTTCTTCAAAAAAAAGTTTCCATTTAATTCATAAACCAATATTTTATTTCTTAAAATTAAGTGACTGTCATGTTTTAAATTTATGCAGTGGTATAGCTCTTGGCTATAGAAAATTAAAAACAAAAGTCTTCCCAGAAATACACAGAGGAAAAAATATGAGCATGCTTTTATATAATGAAGCATAGATTTGTGGCTCTTTTTAATTATATATTTTAAAAGTTAACAATTTCAACTTTCAGCTTGAAAGCAAAACTAAGTTGTTAATTTATCTGCATGCACAGAATTTCACTGTTTCATATCATTATTAAGGGTAGTAATTAAAGTTTTGGCTGTAAAGCAAGTAATTGTGGAACAAATAATTAAAATTTGTATTTTCAGTAGTTAAAAAAAAATAACCTATCTTAATTGAAATCAGAATGCTTCCTAGCACTGGCATTTGAAAAAAACTGAATAGAGTAGAATATTTGTTAGAAATCTAATCTTAACTGGAGAAGGTGGAAAGTCAACAAAACATGAGTAGCAGTTTTACTAATATTGCTACTTATTTTTATCTAAAATAGCACACTGATTGTGGAATCAATTTCCAAATTTTCAATTACTAAAACAGTAAAACGTTATATCAGAACATCTTCCACAGGAATAATGTGAAAGATGACATTAAAATTCTCTTACCTGTTGAACCAACTGACCATGTAATGTTGAGATTAAAGTTGTTTGATGCATTGATTGAAATATCCAAATTTTTGTTTGACTATCAAGAAAGAAAATATTAAGGTTAAAAAAATAAAATTACACTGGATTGATATATCTGATTTTTAAAATATGTCAATGTCATATTTCTCAAACTCCACATGTTAAGTCAATATTCAACTGAATAAGTATAGATGTCAACTATATTTTTTAACAAAAAACTATAATAGAAAAGTTCATAGGTAGATTTAAAGTTCTCATTCATATTCTCAATTCTAATTTGGTCATCTGGATGTAAGCAGAAGATTTTGTAGTTCAATTATCTTTGCTTAACTGTACTTAATATCTAAAGTGATGCAAGTTTGATTTAGTACAAAGTAATTTTACAGCAAGATAGTTTTGTAGAAAGACTTCTTGTCAGATGAACACTGTACACACATTTTCTTCATCTTCTTGCTATAGTGTGATAATTCTAACAGGTAAAATTACAATGAAAGCTGATGGAAAGGTTATATTCATATGATGATATTACCTGTTCTGGATTTGCTATGAAGTTTATGGCAGTGTGATGACGATCATCTTCCTGCAATAAGCTGAATGTAAACTGATAGTCAATCAAAAGGCTGTCTGTAGGGGGAAAAACACAATCTGATGTGTACTTTAAAACACTTAACTGGTTGTAGTAGACACACATGTTGATTCGCAATGACACACTCTGGACACAATGTCACAATCTAATACCACTTCCTTTAAAAACCTGAAAATACAAGTTTGCTAAAATTATATCATTTATCAGTATTGAAAGTGATTATCATTGCTTTTTAGTGGTCTATTTAAGATGGGCAAAATAGAAACCACGGTCATCAGCCAATAAATATTAAAATATAGGTATGGAAGAAGTTCTAGTAATTTGAAAATTATATTCATACATCTTTTACCAATATAAAAGTTCTACAGACACTGTAAACCTCTTGAAGCCATAAGAAAGTGAGAAAATAAAAGTCATCTATAATTTTACAAAGAGCAAAAAATGCAGCTAACATTTTGGTACATTTTATCCCATTTACATTTCTGTAGGTAAAAAGAGAGGTAAATATTTTGTATCTTACTTTCATAAATTCTATATTCATTGGAAACAAAAATAATTAAACAATATTTCAGAATATACTGTAATGCATCTATTTGTACCTTTCTTCTTGTGGTGATTTATGTTTGTATCAATTTTAAATTAACTGTGAAAAACATCATCCTACAGAAATAACTTACTAACAATTTATAAAAAGAATTCCGGGAAATTTATTTTTACTTGTGCCCATGTATAGTGCTGAAACTACAGTGTGATATTTAAATTTATATGTGAGCCTGCTTTCATATGGTATACAACAGTGTCAAACTGACACATTTATCTAAAAAATTCAAAATATTTTAAAGGGATGTCTTCTATTTTTAGACACATACCTTTCACTATATGACCTCAGTCATTAAACAATATTAAAATGAAAGACAAAGATAGGAGTGATATCACTGGCTTTATTGTTAAAACTATCAAGGCATTATTTTTGATGTTTCTTATTATATACTTTACAGGATACACCTTAAATAGTTCTTGAATGATACAGCATAAGGCACTGGTTTCTTTTTCAATTTATAGTCACATATGATCATGACAATTATGCAATCCATCTTTTTTGGATTTTCATCTGATTGCCAAGAAAGTGCAGAGACAGATTCAATGGGCCAGTGTTTATTTTAAGCAGTGGAGATAAGAACAACAAAAATCTAGTGCACTCATGAAGCTTATATTCTATTGAATGAATACTGAAAATTAATAATTTAAGTATATAGAATAATTTAATATATAGAATAACTAATGATAAGAAGTGTTTTAGAGAAAAATACCAGTGGAGAGAAATAGCTCGTGTAGAAGCATGCTTGCAATTTTCATAAGAAGCATTTAATAACCACAGAAAGTAAGAGAATATATAGAATACTAGAAAAACTGTAACCTAGCAAAGGAAACAAATATAAAACCTTAAAGTCAGAGTAAGCCTGCAGTGTGATCCTTGTGAAGACTCATTGGCAAGAACGCAGGCATGAAATGATGGTGGCCAGAGTAACGTGGGGGTAGTAGAAAAGGAATGACATGAGACAACAGCAAGATATTAAAGGGGAGGAACCCAAAGGCAGAAAATTCATAGTCAAATGCACAAAAAAGATATATGAGATGTAGACTGCTTGATGCAACTTTTATGGTAAAAGTTCACAAATCAGAAATCTTGAGACATTTAGAAGAAATGAAAAAGCTGAGAGGGCCACCAGAGAAAACAGAAGTGCATGGAGAAAGATATAAAACAACCAAAAAAGCAAAAGCTCAAACTACAGTAAATAAGTCTAATGTGTTAATAATCACCCTAAAGGTAAGTGATCTGAATTCACAAATGAAAAGATACAAATTCATAGATTGGGCAAAAATAACAGAACCCATTATGATATACACACTAAAATCTCACTTAGATCTCAGGATAAACACAGACTTAAAAGACTTTTTTCATCAAGAAGATAAAATATACTAGGCCTCCCGCGGCATAAGGAGTTAAGTCTCAGTGTTATCATAGCTGTGGCCTGAGTTCGAGCCCCGGTCAGGGAGCTGACCCACAGGGCACAGCAGACCTCTCTTGTCTCACCTGCTGCTCCCCTCAGCAGCATATTTCAGCAGGTCTGCCTGTTCTGCTCGCCACTCTGCCTCCAGGGAATCCTCTCACTCTCCCCACATCTGGCCTACACCCCAGTTCATCTACACAAAAGTAAACAAATCAAGCTTAAAAAAAAAAACTAGCACGGAAAGATTTACTCCACACCAGTGTTCATGGCAGCAGTATTCACAACAGTCAAGTCATGGAACCAACACATATAAATGCCCGCTGTCAGACTACTAGATAAATTGTGGAATACAAATTCGATGGAATACTAACCAGCTACTGAGCGTGATGAAACAGGGCCTTTGGACAAAATGAGTGGACACGGGGGTTACTATACTAAATGAAAGAAGTCAGAAATTAGATGTTTAATTAATTATACAATTTATTTTAATTAACCAGATGTTTTCACACATATGCAGAATATAAATGACCAAAGAAAACTAAGTAGCAAAATACATAATTCTCAGAGACTCAAAAATACAACATCTACCAGGCAGTCTGGGAGGGAGAGTTGGGGGGTTGTGGGGGGGAGAGCAGCGGAAGGGAAGGTGAGAAGGTGCTGAGGGGAGGCTCTGGGGGAAGGTGAGTGAAGCAGGTGCTGTATGGAGTGTGAAGCCTAATACCCAAATTAGATAGTGAGGCAATCTACAGGCAAATCAGTAACATTTGGGGGGGGGGGGGAGAATAAACCAAAAAAAAATTAGGATCTCAGTTTCGAAGATGGTGAATTATTGAATATCCAAGTGACATACTGAGTCGAGTTCAGGAACATGTTTAGGAGACAGCATTTTGTAAATTTTCTATATTTTTGATGGGATTGAAAGCCATGAAGCTGGAAAATTGGAAGGTATAAGTAGAGAAGTCAAAGGGATGAGCCCTGAATCATACCAGTGTTAAGTAATCAGATCTTCATGAGAAGAAAACAAAAGAAATTAAGAGCGGCAGCCTATGAGATAGGAGTCAAACTGGAATTTAATGTCTTGGGAACCAAGAAAACATCCTGCTCAATAAAGAGGGTTGCAATCACTTTGATCAAATACACACAGTTCAGATATAGGGCTGCAATTCTGAGAAAAGACAGTATGTTATCAAATGAAGGAAAAATACCAGGTAGGAAAAGTAAATATGAAATGGGTGAAGGGGGTCAAAATTACAAATTCCCAGTATCAAATAAGTAAGTCAGGGAAATGTAATGTTCAGCACAGTGGCTGAATTAATAATACAATAATGTAAAAATTTTTAAGAGAACATTTAGAATGTTCTCATCACAGAAAAATAAAAAACTGAAACTATGAAACCATGGTGACAGGTGTTAATTAGACTTACAGTGGCGATCATTTTGCAATATATATAGTATTAAAACATTATGTTGTATCCCTGAAACAAATACAATGCTTTATATCAATCATAGCTCATTTTTAAAGGTTTGTGCAATTATATTCACTTGCTTCAACTTTGACAATAAGCTTTGAAAAATCAGAGCAGATCATCTGTAGGAGCTGGGGACAGGTAACCCAGCACACCTGCACAGCTCTGGGCAGAAGCTACAGTACCCCACGACTCTATCCTTTACCACTATCATGTCCCATCAAATTCAAGCTTGAGACCTCTATTCTCAATCATTACACCTGGCAAACCGGTCAGCACAATGTACACTCTCTCTAGCCATGCTCAGTCCTGACGTCAGTGATAAAATAATAATCCTGAACCCTGGAACAAAATGTGAAAGAATACTACACAATCCATGTAACTGTTTGAAAACTTATAATTATTATAAGCTGTGAGAAAAGTTTATAAACTTCTACATGCAATGTCTCCCTTTGAAGCTGATTAGAATTAAGTTTTCCAGAAGTCAACGATGCAATTTTCTACTTTTGGAGAATGTTTCCTCCTCAATTTAAAGAATTGTGTTGGTGTATTTTAGGAGGCTGTGAATGAATAATTACCAGGCACTTAAAACATGTAACTTTGTGTTGAAATTTGCTCTGAATTTCTTAGTTAAATAAGATATGATATGAAACATTAACATTTAAAAATGCTTCAAGTTTATACAAATGTGCATAACTTGAAAATAAGTTTTGTTCTGCTTTAATAGTCATGTTGACTCGAAATTTATTCAAATAATTTAGGTTTCTGCTCCTACTCTCCTAGGACTACCTGGAACGAGGGGTTAAATTTCAATAGGTAGCGGCAGGTGTTTCATACAGTTCAGTCAATACTGGACTAGCCGTGATGGAGCAAGAGAAGTGACTGCTATGGACAGTGCAAAGGGTTAATAACAAATACATAAAATTAAAACCATTAGTAAAACACAGAGATTAGAACCTTGTATCATGAAAAAAATATTCAAAGGGGTCAGGTACTTCACATAACTAATGAATCATTGGAAATGAATGATGAAATTATACATAGAAAACAACATTTTGAAAAAAACTTACACAAAGTTTCTGCACACTTTATATATTTCTTGTGATGAAATGCATACAGTAAATATGTGTTGACTCATAACAAACACTACATGAAATAATGATTTTTAAGAAAATATTAACCAGTGATAAAAATCATCAAAGTGCATTCTGGAACTATCTATACATCTGAGGTCCAAGAAGGCAAAGGTGCCCGCATCACAAATGAAACTGACCGTGGTTTTTGTATGTTATATCAATGGCACCATTCATACAAACTTCAGTTCCTGTAGGAGCCAGGTTAATTACTATATAATTTTAAAACTGTTTCAGAAACGTTTTATTTGGACAATTCGAGAAAGGAACCTTGGTCAAATGACTTGCCTTTTCACAACATTGATGTTTCAGTTAACATTGAATTTCATTGTTAATTTCATGTTATCCATAGCATTTAAGGAGATGTTGATTATAATCTCTCACTTACCAACTAGGTTAATTTATAATGTAATTAACCTCAGTTAAG